ATTTTTATGTTGCAAATGTTTTACATGAATGTTGTAAAAGTAGATCGGGATGTTGTAATGGTTGTACACGTATGTGCAAGCTTCTGCTCCCAATGTTTCGTCTGTTTTTTCATACGTACGCTGCAAGTGTGTTTATTTAGATGTTGCATATGTTTTACACATATGTTGCCATTGTTTTATCTGGATATTGCGTATGTTCTTACAATGGTTGTCACATGTTTTTGCAAGTGTTTTAGATGTATGTTTCAAGTGTTTCATTTGTCTTCAAACGTATGTTGCAAATGTTAAATCTGAATATTTCGAAAGTAGATCAAATGTTGCATCTTCCTCCTCGTCTTCTGCTTCTCCTCTTGGTATCGGCTAGGCATGCGAACTAGAGACACTCCCACCCTCCCCCCCCCCCCCCGCCCGTCTTTTCTCGATGCTCATGACATTCGGGGCGGCGGTAAACTTGGTCCAATAGTGCCCGATCTACCATTTCCTAAGCAGGTTGGCCATTTCCTTCTGCAGATCCTGCTTCATTTACTGGGCTCTTGCATCTAACACACGGGCCGGGCTGTATTTCGGAAAAAGACGCGGCCCAGCCGTAGGAGGGTTCTGTTCTCTGCTCCGCTTGCTCCGCGCCGGCAGCCTCCCCACCTCCGCCGCCACCGCGATCTTGTTCTCAGTTCTGCGGCGGCGATTCCATTATCCAAAAAAAAAAAAAAGGTTCTGCGGCGGCGATGGCGCTCTCCTCCTCCCGGCCGCACCACCACCTCCTGCGCCCCCTCCTCCGGGGCTTCACACGCCTCCGCGGGGCCTGGCGCGGGCGGAGCCGCACGAGTTCTCAAGCCCAGCGGGTACCTGGGCAGCTGGGAGCCCGCGGCGGAGCCCCGGGAGGCGTGGGCGCGGCTGGACCGGCTGCGCAAGGGGTACGCGCGCGACGTGCGCCAGCTGCGGCGGCAGTACGCCTACGAGGTGCAACTGATGGAGGCCGAGCGGCAGCGGAAGGCCGACGCCCGCGCCGAGGCCGCCCGCATCGCCAACCAGGAGCGCAAGGCCGCCAAGCTCGCCGCCGCACAGACGCGCGCCGCCGAGCGCCGCGCGTTCGAGGAGGACTTCCGCCAGACCCTCGTAGGCTTCGATCCTCCTGTCTCCTTCCATCCCTTGCTCCAGTTGCCCGCAGTACTTGCAGGCTTGCACGCTTCCAACTTGTTTGATTAATTGCCTCATCCATTCGGGCTTCTAAAATGCGAGCCTTAACACTGTCTTAGTTGCTATATATTGTTAGTTTCTGATTTGTGTGGCCATCTGATTAGTTTCAGAAGCATGTCTAAGAACAACGTCTCAAGACACCATTTGCGCTCAATTAGTCAACTATGCAGTGAAGTGAAAACGTATATAGCAAATAGATTTGTAACTGAGATGAGATAATGTGTGCAGATGAAAGAAAGAGCTGAGAAGCTGGAGAGCTGGCGGAAAAAGGAGAAGCTCAAAGAGCAGAAGAAGGCAGAACAGAAGGAGCTCCTGCGCAAGAAGAGCAGTATGTGGCTTTCTGAAGATAAAATTGAACAGCAAATACTCACTGCTATCATGCAAACCACTCCTCTATGAGGTTGGTTCTGTGAGGTGAGTTGTACTGTCTTTCTTTTTGTGGTGTTGCAATCTTTTCTCACTCCTCTTAATTCCGAAACAGGAAGGACATTCATCTTTAACTTTTATTTAACGTGTTTGGAATAAAAAAAACTTCACACCTATAACCTATTGAAGTGCAGAACTCAAAATCAAGTCTTTAAATATATTAAATTGCTTCATATATTACATGTCTGTATTTTAGATTGTATCGGTGTTTTTTTTGGTCTTCAATCCTACTGGAACATAATTTTCTTTAAGTATTGGAAGTTTGGAACCACAGTGATTCTAAGTCTGATTTTAGTCTGCTTATTGATTTGTAATTTTTATTCAATTAGACATCATATATTACAAACATATGGCTCATTAAGCTTTACATGAAGCTGCATAGATCTTAGAGAAAAGCCAATGCTGAAAAGTCACAGGCTAAAACATTCGCTCGATCAGCTAGATACATCGTATAAGGTGTATTACATTCTGTAGACTTCTTAAATTTAAGGGACAAGTATTATAAGGCAGAAGCAACATCAGATGCTGTTTACCTTGGAGTTCAGTAATTTCAATTAGCTGTAGATCTCAAGGAATATATGTAGCTCCACATTGATAACAACTTCCTATGAAATAATACCAGGCTTAGGGTGTTCACAGACCCCACATAAAAATTATTAAACTTTAATTTGCATTACTCACGTTAGATAAACAGAAACTAGTGCTAGTACAATGTCAGTGGACTATTGAATGGGTGCATAACTCCTCTGTATACAATCTTTGGCTCTTTACGGATATTTGCACGAGATTTGAGTTTCATTACTAGGGAGGGACAAGTTGATGCACCAAATAGATGCAATATGACTGTATGAGGCATGTTCCCCGTTAATGGTAAGTTGTTAGCTGGTCAGGCTGCAATACATGGAGCTTTGAAAAGGCTGATAGCTCTGGGACTTCAAAGAGGATATTTGAAGAGACTGCAGAAGAGCAGCACTTGATTTCACTAGGAACTGAGTTTACAAACATCGGTCTAAGATTTTAATTATGACTTTTAACATAAAAAAGATTGTCATGGAAACAACAAAAACCACATCAAAATATCCATGTGATTGTGATGTGTGAAACGTAGAGCGAACAATCAAGCAAATTTTGGTACTAAACTCTAGGAAAACTCGGTGTGAGGTATCCTTGCTCAGAGCCCTGCAAAATGGTCCAAAATAGTATCCATTCTGCCAAAAATACAGTATGTGCTATAAAATATTACACTGAACTGACGGTGCTTTCTGAGTATAGGTGTTGTTACTCTCACAACTTCCAATCATTTTGAGCATAGCGGACATGTGATTTTCAGATTGCATCAGTTGTGTTCATGTAGACATACAGAATACGGAGTGGGTTTTGCTATTAAATTAGGAGTATTATTATTTTTGTAATACAGATTTAATACATAGCTAAACTCTGTTTAATAAGTATTATAATGTACACGGTTTGGTTTGAGATTTGGAAGATATGCCACTGGCGATTGGTGTTAGTTAGTTGCATACTTGCATCCCCTGGGAATGGCATCTTTTGGATTTGTGGTCACCTTATTGACAGACTTTATAGTCAGTAAAACATCACTACATTATCCACTTCTGTGCTATAGTCGAAAATGCAGCAGGAAAAACCCTGTAGTGTCCTATATGGCTTCTTATGACTATAATCAGTTTGATGCTGAAGATGGTTGTGTCTTTATCTATAACTCAAACTCTTAATCTATGACCATGGTCTTCGAGATACTGATGGGCATCGATTTTTTTCCCTTTTGGCAGGAAAGCTAATAGTAGCATGCGAATCATGAGGGATGGACATCACATGGACGTATCCATCGCTCCCTGTGTTAACTAGTTCGCTGCTAGCATGCAGCCCTATGTATGAGCAATAAGAATGAACTCGGTATTTAATTAACGTGGAAAAGGTCATGCGTTTATTAGTTAGACTTGATCGCACCAAGCTGTGCTTGGAGAGATGGCTCTTGGCTAAAGCAGAAATGATTTAGCTGGGTGGTGCACAACGGCCCGAGTCTGAATTTGCTGCTATCCTTTTCATGTCACGGATTACGATCCGTTTGTTCTCATTTGCGTAAACTCTTGGCATGATCTTGACGAAACATATATCCTTCCTTTTCCGTTTGGCAATTAGTGATTTTCCCTGTTACTTGGATGAAGAATAGTCGCCATCATCATCCAGTTATGCTAATGATTTTGTTCTACGTACGTTGATGGTCGAGGCATCTGGCTGCTGGCCCTCTCTCTACAGTGCTGCCGATCTGTCCAAGTAGAGTGCAAATCTGCAATCAGCTCGCCGCGGGAGAAGGGGGATATGATGCCGACGAGAAGGGCGAGCATGAAAAGAAGAGGCAAAGGCCAAAGCAAAAATGGAGGAGCGAAAGTGCCTCATGATGCTTCGTTGAATCTTTCTTCGTCACGCCGGAGGGGGATAATGATTTGGCCCACTGTACAGCCTTGTGTCCCAGCAAGGTAAAGATAAGCACGGCTAATAACTCGAGCGTGTGGTGTGTTACACTTGCACCTTGTTGTTGGTAACCATGACAGCATTCTAGAGTAGACCATGTAAAGAATGAAAAAGGAATCATGAAAGCAGAACGCTGGTATGGTCGAATGGAATGCATGGGAATTTTCAGTTTCCTTTGGAATGTAGGTTCCCTATTTCTTGTGTTTTTGTCTGAAAATAAACTGATTTGGAGTCAGGCCATTGCGTGGACTGTGGAACATGGGTACTTGTACTGATTCATGCGGAAATCACAGCCATTTCTGGTTAAAATTCAGCTGAATCATTGCGTTCCAATTAGGCACTGTGACTCCGTAAAATTTGGTAGCCCTTTGCTTCCTTTCATTGCTTGGTGTTGACCTTTATCTCCCTCCCTGCTCGCTGCTGTGTTGCACTTGCACAGTGCTGGTAGGCTCTTGCCTCTGGTAGTGTGATGGACAAGGCTGCTCCCCTCCGGCCTAGTACACCTAGGGCTAGGGGGGCCCACGGGCAGACAGAAACAGAGCAAAAGCGAAAAGTGGAAGCCTCCAGTACTGACAACCTGACACTGGTCTACGGATGAGGACCGCCCAAACAGAGCAGTGGAGCAGCCAAGAAGTCCCAGTGGCAAGCGGCCACTGCCTCGGTCCAAGCTCAGCTCCAAGCTCCAGCCTCCAAGCACCAGCTCGATTCAAAAATCAAAAGTTGCATGGTAGGAGTAGTTCTCTCGTCCCGATGCAGATTGATGGAGCAGCCAAGATCACCAATGGCTTTGGCTGAGTGATTCCTCCTCTCCTTTCCTCCCTCCCATGCCGATCTTGCTTCACTCGCCGCCCCGTCGCCATCCACCCCCGCAGCTGCCATCGTCGGCAATGTCCGTACGGTTCTTGCTGCATTCCGCGGCATTCCTGGCGATCCTGGCGGCAGCGACACCGGCCGCCTTGCCGGAGCCGGAGCCGGTTCCAGAGCCAGAGGTGAAGCCGAGCGACACGGACGCGCTGACCATCTTCCGGCACGGCGCGGACGCGCACGGCATCCTGTCCGCCAACTGGAGCACGGGCGACGCGTGCGCGGGGCGGTGGCTCGGCGTGGGCTGCTCGCCGGACGGCCGCCGCGTCACCTCACTGACGCTGCCGTCACTTGACCTGCGCGGCCCGCTCGACCCGCTCTCCCACCTCGGCGAGCTCCGCGCGCTCGACCTCCGCGGGAACCGCCTCAACGGCACCCTCGACGCGCTCCTCCGCGGCGCGCCGGGGCTCGTCCTCCTCTACCTCTCCCGCAACGACGTGTCCGGGCCCGTCCCCGCCGACGCGCTCGCGCGCCTCACCCGCCTCGTCCGCCTCGACCTCGCCGACAACAGCCTAAGCGGGGGTATCCCGTCGGCGGCGGTGTTCGCCGGGCTCACGGCGCTCGTCACGCTCAGGCTCCAGGATAACCTCCTCACGGGCCTGCTCCCCGACGTGGCCGCCGCGCTGCCTCGCCTCGCGGAGTTCAATGTCTCTAACAACCAGCTTTCGGGGCGGGTGCCCGACGCCATGCGCGCCAGGTTCGGCGTTGCCGCCTTCGCCGGCAACGCTGGCCTCTGTGGACCCGCGCTGCCGCTGCCGCCCTGCTCGTTCCTGCCGCGGGAGCCCGCCCCGATGCCGCCGTCTTCGTCTGTGGTGCCGTCCGTGGTGCCGTCCAACCCGGCCGCGTCCTCCTCCGTCGCCTCGTCCTCGCCGGCGCTGGCCACGCCGGAGTCGCTTGGCGGGGCCCGCAACCGTAATAAGGGGGGATTGAGCCCCGGCGCGGTCGCTGGGATCGCCGTCGGCAACGCCCTCTTCTTCCTCGCCCTGGCGTCGCTGCTCGTCGCGTGCTGCTGCTGCGGCCGAGGCAACGGCGGCGAGCCCGCGGCGGCCAAGAAGAGGAAGAAGCGCGGCCGCGTCGGCCTGGAGGACGGAGGCGGCGCGCTGTTCGGCCACCTCAAGGGGGAGCAGCAGCAGCCGGGTCGTCCGGGCAGCGCCGGCCGGTGCAGCGACGGCGGCGACAGCGACGGGGCGCGCAGCAAGCTGGTGTTCTTCGGCGCGGACGGCGGCGAGGCCGGGGAGGACGAGGACGACGACAGCGACGGCAGCGATGCCGGCGCGCCGCTGACCTCGCACCTGCAGCAGCAGGGGCGGCGCGGGAGCAGGTTCCAGCTGGAGGAGCTGCTGCGCGCGTCCGCGGAGATGGTGGGCAGGGGCAGCCTGGGCACCGTGTACCGCGCCGTGCTGGGCGACGGCCGCATGGTCGCCGTGAAGCGGCTGCGCGACGCCAACCCCTGCGCGCGAGACGAGTTCCACCGCTACATGGACCTCATCGGCCGCCTCCGCCACCCGCACCTCGTCCCGCTCAGAGCTTTCTACTACGCCAGGCAGGAGAAGCTCCTCATCTACGACTACCTCCCCAACGGCAACCTCCACGACCGCCTCCACGGTACGGTACCGTCTCCGTCTCCGGCGACCTTGTTGCCAGTGAGTTACTTACAACCATTGCTGTTGCGTACGTGATCGACCTCCTGACACGAATCAATCGCGAATGCTCTTTGCCGCCATTGGCTGCTTGAATGACGATGATCCACAGGTCACAAGATGTCGGGCGAGTCGGCGCTGGACTGGACGACGCGGGTGAGGCTGCTGCTGGGCGCGGCGCGCGGGCTGGCGTGCATCCACCGTGAGTACCGCACGTCGGGGGTGCCCCACGGCAACGTCAAGTCCACCAACGTGCTGATCGACAAGGACGGCGCGGCACGCGTGGCGGACTTCGGGCTGGCGCTCCTGCTCAGCCCGGCGCACGCCATCGCCCGCCTCGGAGGCTACATGGCGCCGGAGCAGGCGGACAACAAGCGGCTGTCGCAGGAGGCCGACGTGTACAGCTTCGGCGTGCTGGTCCTGGAGGCGCTGACGGGCAAGGCGCCGGCGCAGCACCTGCAGCCGGCGGCGCCGGCACCGCCCGACGCGCACAAGAAGGGCGCGGCGGCGGGGGTCACGGCGATGAGCCTCCCGGAGTGGGTGCGGTCTGTGGTGCGGGAGGAGTGGACGGCGGAGGTGTTCGACGTGGAGCTGCTGCGGTACAGGGACATCGAGGAGGAGATGGTGGCGCTGCTGCACGTGGCGCTGGCGTGCGTGGTGCCGCGGCCCGATCAGCGGCCCTCCATGGGCGACGTGGTGAGGATGATCGAGAGCGTGCCCGTGGAGTAGTCCCCGGCCCCCGAGGAGGAGGATAGGGACGTCTCCGTCACGTCGCCGTCTGTCGGCGACACCACGGACGACGGGGACGGTCGCCTCAGCATCCGCTGTCCTGCCCAGATTCTGTGTTCTTGTGTGTGATCTTGACATCTTCTTCCATGTATGGCTTTGGGACATATTCGTCTCATCCGGCTTTTGCACGCCTGATCTGAGAATGGATTCATGGAGTGCTGCTCCCTGTTGCAGCAGCAGCTGCAGTTTCCCTGCCTGTGAGACGATTTATGGATCTTGACTGAGAGCCTGTTTAGATGGCGATTTTTTTTTTAAATGCCCTGTAGCACTTTTCGTTGTTATTTGGCAATTAGTGTCGATCATAGTCTAATTAGGCTTAAAAGATTCGTCTCGTGAATTTCGTCTAAACCGTGTAATTAGTTTTATTTTTTATTTATATTTAATGCTTCGTGCATGCGTCCAAAGATTCGATGTGACGGGGAATCTGAAAAATTTGGCAAAATTTTCTGGAACTAAACTGGACCTGACTGATATGCAGGGTTCTCTACTTCTCTTCGCATTGTTCAGCTAGGGCGTGTTTGGAGCGTCAGCTCATCGGCCTGGCTGCCCCCCCCCCCAAACTGCAGTGCACGTGTTTGATGTCTATGGGCCGTCTCCCAGCCCGGCTCCTTGGATGCATTTCGGTCCCCTCGGCCTGGCTCCAAGGAAACGCTCCCCCCCCCCTTCGTTTTTCTAGGGCAAGGCCGCACGCGGCTCCTCTCAAGCGATTTCGGGACGATTCGTGGCGGCGGCGGCTGGCTCGCGCGGGAAGTGTGAAATCTCCGCGCGCTCTTCCGCTACCGGTGAAATCCGCCTCCTTTATAAGCGGCCCCTCCCTCGGCGAGCTCCCCTCCTTCGTCTCCATTGCTTGTCCACAAAATCCCGTGAGAGACCAACTGTGTGTTGAGGTGTGGTGTCCGGTGAGGCGGCGTTCTTCCCTGGCGGGCTTCCTCTCCGTTCCCCTCGGCCCGGATCTGGACGGATGCGGTGCCGCACCTTGTTCCTAGCTGGGACTCCGGGAGGCGGTCGTCTTCTTCCTTCGTCTTCCTCGGTTCCGGTGGTGCGCGTGGTGGTGCTATGTCCCGGATATGCTTCCTCTCCGTCGGGATCTGCTTCTTCGTTGCCTCGTCTTCTCCGTTGTTCGCTTCATGTTTGCTCCGTCCATCACCTCGAGGTGAAATCCACCCCCAATGGACCTACTCTTTGATTTGGATGATGCTAGGGTTTCGTTGTACTTGTACAAGGTGCTGTCTTTGCGGCTTATCTGAGCTTTTGGTGCCGGTTGCTTTGTTATGCGACGTTGGATTTAGGGTTTGCCTTCAACTGTTGTCTCCCTCCACTCAAGCTCGCGCAGAGAGCGCACCATGGCCGACCTCTTCCTCACCTCGTAAACCATCAGTGTTTCCCATCCACGCTGCCTCCACTCCTGGTGGGCTGCACCACCTCCGTTCGCCGCTATAAGATGCTCTTGCTCTCCTCCTTCATATCCATCCCCTCGAATCCGAAGTTGAGCTATGAGATCCAGTCGTCGTTCGTGGAGCTAGGGTCGTCAGTCAGAGGTGATTGTGTAATCTGAGAAGAAGAAGCGATCTGGTTTTTGTCAAAGTAGTTCAAGTCCACCTCTGATTAGTTGGATCTTAGTGTTCACGATGTTTGAGTTCTCAGTCTCTTGTTTTCTGGATCTGTTGGACATACGCAATGTTTTGGATAATCATTTTCTTATTGTTTCTCCATTGTCGTAGGTTGCTCTTAACCGTGTATCTCTAAATCCCTGCTTCATTGCGTCGCCGCGCGTCCTGCTTCGGGGATGTGCGTGGGGAAATTAGGAAAGAAGCCAGGAGTGAATGAATTAGTGAGAGAGAGAGAGAGGGAATAGTAAACAAACGGTGACGTAGTTCCAGAAAAGATCAGGGTCACTTTTGCAAAAGAGCTGTGCGCGCGGACTCCCCGCTTGGGGCCGTTGCTGGGCAGGCCTGCTGCGCGCGCTCACGTTCCGCGTTGGGCCAAGTCGTGTTGCTGGGCGAATGCTTGCCACTTGCCCTTTTTGTTTTCTAAAGCATTTTCTAATTTAGTTTCTAAGGTAAACTTGTAAATTTAATATAAATTTGTGTAGTTGGCCAAAAATTGTGAAACTAATTTTATTAGATTTCTAAAATCATGATCTATCTACCAGTATATCTTGTTCACATAGTTTCATAGTATTTTCAGGAGTTATCTAATTAAATTGAGATGCTTAATATTGTTAAGGTATAAATTTATAGGAATTTTTATGATTAATCAGTGCTAGTGTTAATTCTAGAAATTTCATAGTAGCTTCCTAATATTATGAGGTGCTCACTATAATTTTTGTAGCTCCATAATAATTAATTTGCTAATGTAGCTAAATGAGCCCTATTTCGAATATATAAATTAATCAGTAAGAAGCCAAAACACCTTGGGATTGTAGAACCAAAACATTTTTCCAGAGACAAAGCCTTACTTGACAACATGGATAGGTAGCCTAGTACGTTAGTCATTAAAGCTATCTCGTTAGCTTATGGAGCGTAATCGTATTTTAGAGTTGTAGTTTCCGTTGGTTAATTACGTTTTCTGCGTTGGATCCACGTATATCATAATAGGAATAACGATGGATCATGGAGTCGACCAGGGAAACAGAAAAGATGGTGCCTCGGTGATCGTGTCACCATAATAGAGTGCTAACCTTTGGTTATATCTTATCCAGCCAAGCCCCGGTGCATAACCCCTATTATTCTGCACTTTATTTTATGCTTGTGCATTAAGTTTTAAGGAGTTGAATGAAAACCACTTGCATATATATTCTTATCCTATGAGTCCTACTAGTATGTCAGGATCATGTAGATTGCTATGCTATAGGATCCGATAAAAGTCAAGTGATTACTTGTCACTCGCGAGAGACAGGAAATATATTATTGTTATTATTATCATGTGGAATATATATATCAGGATGATAATTGGAGACCGAACGGAATGGTACTTTGGATCTAGACCTGGTTAGACATTCGAGCGAGGCTCGGATTGCACTTGTTTCGCCTATGTCGACTAAGGACCATCCCTTGCTGTGGATGGTAGTCAGGTCACAAACTTATTATCCTGAGCACATACTTGCTTATGGGAGCAGGAAGGCTCGTTACGCTCTTGTCGTGGGTTCCGAATCTTTCTAGACAGACTGATTGGAGGCAGGGAAATGTGGAGGCTTAAACACCATACTAAAACCGGGTCTCAAGTGTGGGAGCTTGAAGTCCAAGTTTGGACGGGGACCTGGTACCCCTCGATAAGAGCGGAATGGGTTGGTCTCGTTTGTACCTGGGGTACAAGCGATGCGTGTGTTTCGGGATACTCAGCTGGGAAACATTGATTCGTGAATTGCCTTTTCTATGAGATGGTACCGACTTGGCTATGGTCTAGCATCGTAGTAAGAACTATAATATGAAAGATGGTAAAATGGTTCTGATTGCTTACCATCTGCTTGAAAGTAGCATAGGTTCTTACATAGAATGATTAGTTAATGAACTAATGATGACTGCTAATAAAACTTGGAACATAAGGATGCACTATTAGTAATGCTTCCGCAGATGCAATAACCCACAAGCCAAATAAGCCTTGCATATCATTGGAGTCTTTTAATTTTCTCCTGTTGGGTAAGTCTTGCTGAGTACAATCGAGTACTTAGGGTTTTATTCCTCCTGTTGCAGGTGATCGGAGGATACATAGAGCTAACTCTTGTGTGTGGAAACCTCATGATGAGCTCAGAGAGGATTCCTTTCACGCTATGACCGTAGTGTTTATTTATAACCCTCACTAAAGGTTTTTATAAGAAAAGATGTAAAATCTGCTAGCATCTCTCGTATATAAATGTCCATCATGTTAATACTCCACCATGTCATTAAATTAATCTTTGTTTCCTCTGTAACTCTGGTAACATTTTTATATTTCGCTGTTATAATCAATTGAGGTAATATTCTGTTACTGTAATAAAGTGGTGTAAGAAATGGCTTAAGAATGTTGTAAGCTTTATTCTCTCATTTATGATCCTGATGGAAAAATATGGATTTTTGAGTTCTCCCTTGGGTTGTGCTCGATGGAACTGCATAGTTTAGTGTCATCTCTTGAGTACTTAGTGTCTAATGAAAGACAAGTACTCCTAGGAGGCCTTAGATTATGCGGTTCTGCCACAGTTTTGTATGCTGTTGGTGAGCTTAAAAGTGAAATAATTAAGCCTCCTACATATGGCATACATCCAAAAATCCTTGAGAGCTATAGATGGAACCCTTACATGCAGGCAACTGTAAATTTAACTGTTAAGCCATAATTCACTGTAAGTGTGAACCAATGCACTTATCCCACTTACATCTTTTTAGACTGTATTGGTGCCATTGATGGCACCCATGTGTTGGCTAGGGTGCCTAGACACATGCAGCAGGCTTTTAGGGGTAGGAAATCAAACCCCACACAAAATGTGATGGCCGTTGTTGACTTTGACCTAAAGTTCACTTATATATTGGCTGGCTGGGAGGGCTCAGCACATGATGCCCTCATCCTTGCTGGTGCCATTGAGAGAAATGATGAGTTCATTATGCCTGAAGGTAACTGAAACCAACTGTCTAGTGAACTTATGTCCTTACCATGCCATAGACATTTACAAAGAGCATCTTTGGTGCACTTGTAGGTAAATTCTACCTTGTATGCCTGCCGCAGTGGCTTCCTCCCTCCCTACAGGGGGTGAGGTACCATCTATCTGAGTATGGCAGCAGAAACCACCCAACTAATACAAGGGAATTGTTCAACTTGAGACACTCCTCACTTAGGGTCACAGTTGAGAGGGCTTTTAGGGCTTTGAAGAACAGGTTTTGTGTTTTGGACAATAAGCCATTCCACCCTTACAAGACTTAGGTCAAGCTTGTGCTAGCCTATTGCATTCTTCATAACTGGATTCTAGGCTTTGGCATGGACCAAATAGTGCCACCAGAGGACTGGTTGCCACCAAACCAGCCTGATTCTGAGCCTGTCCATGAGCTGCTGTCTCAAGACTCTAATGTCATGTCCACTAGGAGGGATGCCATTTGTACTGCAATGTGGGAGGGTAGGGGTACCTCTAGGACATAATTCATGCATGTTTATTCTTGTATAACTTAGTTTGTTGATCCTGGTATGGAACATGTGGTTTGTGTACTTCTGTTGTAATAATTATTGGGCAAGGCTGAGACCAATGAGCTTCAATACTATATACTATTCTTACTATTATGGCTTTATACTGTTCTTACCAATGAGACATCCATACTATGTTAATGTTTCATTGGTTAACTAAATAGGATGGCTTCAACTCCTATTGAGGGTGGTTTTGTGGCTGCTGCTGAGGTTGTTGTGGCTGAAGCAGCTCCTGCTACTGATGTTGCAGCTACTGCAGCACCAGCTGCTGGGCCCATGAGGTGGAACAACAACGCCTCTGGTTTGTGCTTAGGAGGATGGCCTAGTTGCTTAGCGATGGCACTAGGCCTAACAAGGTGTTCAAGGACAAGGATGTTAACCTTGTAGCCAAGTGTCTTAAGGACTACAATGGGGATGCAGTGAGCCCAACTCAGGTGTATAACCACCTGAGAAAGTGGAGGCAAAAGTGGTCTAGGATCTGTAAGCTGAAAGATCTTAGTGGTGCCATCTGGGACAGTGATGTCAATGCAATCATGCTTGATGGGGAGCACTAGATAGGCCACTGCAAGGTAGAACACTTGAGTTGCTAACTATGCCACTATGTCTTACCTATCTTACCTCATCTGCAACTGTATCCCCTACCGCAGGACCACCCTATGGATGCAGAGTTCCTTAACTATCCTATAAGGTTCTACTCTAAGATGGAGGCCATATTTGGGCATTTTATGGCCACCGGTAGGTATGCACTTAGTTCTGGTGAGGCCCTTGTGGTGAATCAGGCTAATAGTGCAGCTGCTAAGGTTGAGGGCTCTGCCTTCCACCATATCCCTGAGGAGAAGACCAACACTGAGGTTGTGGAGGGCAGCAAGGCCACAGAGCAGCTGCATTCTACTATGGGTGGGAAGAGGAAGAGAGGGAACTTTCACTGAGATGCTCTTGCTGACCAACATGTCTGATGCTATCAATAATGTTATCAATGCACTTAGGGAGACAGGTGCTGCACATGTGGATCCTGACCTCTATCTTGCAATCATGGAGATGCAGGGCTTCACCACTGAAGCCTTCATTGTTTCCTACACGTACCTGCTAGAAAATAAGGCCATTGCCATAGGCTTTGTGAAGATGGCAATCAACCATAGGGATATTTGGCTGAGGAACTACCTTGCCAAGAACTACTATATGTAGTTGTGTCCAATTAGAATAGCAAGGCAAAGAGGGGGTTGACTGTTGAGATGTATAGTTCCTCCACCTCCCTCGCCCACTCTCTTACCTTTTGTACACACCTATGTGTAGCTTTTTGTGCAGCTTAGTTGGCTAATTTACACCTATCCTTTTGGGTTAGTGTAGTTGGAGGGTGGCTAACTATAGGTAACATTAAGCAAGATGGACCTTATTTGAGCCTACATGTGTGAGGCTGTACTGGTATGTGTAATGCACCATTGGTGGCCTCTATTGGTTGCTGTATTTGGTACTGTTCATGGTTTCTTTTTATTTTTGTTGGATTCTGTTCTTTTGGCTCCATTTACTACATCATCTGTCACTTATGTGTGTTACTTATGACATATTGGTTTTGTTTCTTTTGATTGGTGGTAACTGTGGGAAATCTATAAGGCCTATAATGCAAACAACATATTCAAGAGGTGGCTGCCTTGTTTAATTGGGTTTTCATGTTTTTATCACTGCCATGGAACCCTATGTGTGCCCATCCATTCACTTATGCTGATGGCAGTGAATGGATGTGCACAATAGGGTTCGATGGCAGTCATGACCCTAGATTTGCACTTATTTGATGCTTGACCTATTTACTTGATTATTTTGGTTTGTCATGTATGTCATCACATCCATGAGACACAACCATACCCTAGCAATAGCCCCTTCTTTCTTGTGCTGATGGTAGTGTATGGATGTGCACATGGATGCCATGGCAGCCATGAGCTTGGATTTGTTGCACTACTAGTTTTTATTTTCTATAGCAGCCACCAGTGATTTGAATTGAAAGAACACCACCACATTCTAAAGCTGAGTCCAACCTTTTATTACAATGCCTGTGATGTCAATTCTCTTACATATGAACTTGATGATGCTGATCATCAGTGGGGGACTTAAGATCAATGATTTGTTTCACCGCAAACCGTAGATCTTCAAGTTCCACACTCATGGCTGGTTTCATGCTTTACATTTGACTAAGGCTACAACACTGTATCATTTCACAGAAATGGCAGTGTACTATGTTGTTTTCAATGGGAAAGCTCCTGGGATTTACCTGAGTTGGCAGGATTGCAGTAAGCATGTTCTTGGGGTGAGAAATGCTATATACCAGAAGTATAGCAACTATGACCAGGCTGTTAGAGCTTATTAGACAGCCATGAGAGGTGTCCATCCATCTCATGGAGCAGCACCTCCCCTCCCCTGTGATCCTGTCCCTCATGATGCTTTTGCTCCAATTATTCCTCCTTCTGATGGTAATGGTAAGACTGGTTGGTGGAAGAAGGTGTTAATCACCTCACTTGTTATCTTGGTGGTTGTACTATGGATGAAAGGGGGCAAAACTGGCAGCTACGTCTGCCCCACTTAGGCCTGTGATGACTACAACTACATGATGGACGAGCTGTTGCTGTGTCTTAATGATTTCTGTCTTCTATTTCTATTACCTATCTCCCTTGTGTTGTTCAAGGACCGTTGATTACTGATTAGGCTGCTGATGTTGTTATTTTGCCTTGCTTTATTGGTACTTTTGTAAAGTTAGAGCAGTTATGACTCCATGCTTATTTATCTAATTAGTCTGAGGTCTGTTCATTATGTGATGTTGCATTACTCTTATCTATCTCCTATCTGTTGATTTCTATTGGCTGCTCTCCATGGTTGCTGGCTAGGCCAGGGATCAAACAAGATCTAGGAATGACAGTTGGTGGTAGTTGGCCTTGGGCCTATCTCCTAGTTGTGGAATCAAAACAATCTTCTTTGGGCCTAGTCAGTTTGGTACAGGCCACCAAACAAGGGGCCTTGCATCGGGTTAGCCAAGCTGTGGCTGGTCTGGGCCTGGCCTGCGGGCCTGGCTGCCTTCAGGCCATCTACCAAACACGCCCCTAGTAACCTGCTGTCGTATGGAGTTTGTGAAAGATCGCAAAGACATTTGGATTGGTGACGTACCCAGGATTCGCTAGTCTGGAGTACCAGATTATTAGCGGTGGCTAACTTGGGGAGGAAGAAGGAGACGTGGATAGGAGAAGCAGATTGAAATTTGGGCGATGAATCTGAATAGCTAGAGGATTCAAAGTTGGAATACAAATTCGCTGTCGTCCTCTTCTATTTGAATTTATGTGAACACACACCACAGCTCCGATTCTGGGCTTCTTTACAAGCATGCTGGGCCGACATGTGTCGGTTGGGCTGGGGCGCAGCCTTCGACTGCTGTGCACAGGAGGGTAGGACTGCGGCTGCTCAGCCTCTGTTTTTGTTCTTTCCTGGCCAACATAGGACAACCATCTCTGATATGGACTTTAAAATTTCCCAGTCAAATTCAAAACAGTTTTTCTTTTAAAAAAAAGATCAAATTCGAAAGGTAATTCTGTCAATCTACTGCTACCTTCTTCCACAAAAAATGCAACTATAATTTTCGTGCTTGTTAATGTTGTTCAAATTTGACCAAATCTACAGTGAATAGTATTCACATTTATATCTCCAAATAAGTATATTTCATAACGAATCTAATGATATTTATTTTGTATCATAAATATGTGTATTATTCCATATAAACTTGATCAAACTTGAAAGTATGTGGATTTCTCGAAATGTAGGAATTGAGTTTTTTTGGACGGAGGGAGTACCTTTAAGGTGCAGGTGTGGAATCATATGTTTTCCTGCCTCATTTCTTGAGCTGTGGTGTTCAACTATTGACTCGCATAATCGCGCTCATGGGTCACTTGTCTCTGTATATAGTATATAGAGTGTCACGACGATCATGCGGTCTAGTTTTACATGTAGATGTTTTAGATAATAAAAAAAGTTCTGGCTTTATCCCCTTTCAAGGAGGTGAATCAAACCAAATTATTACACCATATGACACACCACCCACATGACAAGAAAAGGTTACCAAAGGACTCCACATTAAAATCCAACTATTAAAAAAGTGGCCATCCATAGGACACAAAGAACTGCATTGCGGCCTTTATCACATTGTTGTACTGTTAGATAATTAGGCATTTTCAATAGCAATTTAATCCAGAAAATGACATTAAACAATATGAACAAGTTGGTGACATCATGTATGTGCTTGTGTGTCTTAAACGTGACGAGCATGTAGATGATACTCAAACTAAGGATTGACAGCGAAGACCTTAGAAGGTTCGTTCCAGAAACATACCCAGCGACAGAGCCGGATGCACTCGAAGACATAGTGCCTGTCGATGTAGTCGTCCCGCTCGATGCAGTGCAGGTGAGAAGACGTGCCGATCACCAGCGATCCTCTAGGAAGTAGAGGACGAAGCGAGTAGTCGTGCCGCTAGCGACACTCCCCAAAAACGTGATTGCCGCCCTTCACCCGAGCAGGCGAACTCGAAGATAGCAGGCGTTCCAGAGGCCTACTCTCCCAATTCCTGTACGCGCAAGGAACCGGGACGGGGAAAACCAGATAGCAGCGGAATGTGTGGTTGTTCTCGGAAGCGAAGAAGAAGAAGACTGACGGAGGAGTTCGGAATATATGCTCGCGGTGGGGAAGCGAAGAGACTATGGAGGCCGCGGAGGAGATCAGGAGACTGTACGGTAACTGGCGAAACTCCCGCAATGAAGCCGTCTCCAACATAAAAGAGAGTAACTCCCGTTATTGGCCCCGTTCGCTTCGCTGAAAAAACAAACCGAAACGCTGTTCCGGCTAATTTGTTGTGAGAGAAAAACACTGTTCCGGCTAAAAAAACAAGCTGAAAAGTATGGATTATAAGACAAACGAACATAACCATTATGTAAATTGAGTGGCAAGCGAAGAGGCTGTGGAGGCTGGGGAGGAGATTAGGAGACGGTACGGTAACTAGCGAAACTCCCGCAATGAAGCCGCTTCCAACGTAAAAGAGAGTAAGGCCCCGTTTGGCAGGGATTCACTTCACTAGTGAAGCTATTTTTTTTGCTTTAGCTCCACGAACAGTTCCACCGGTGGAGCTAAAGCGGTTTTGATAAACCGTTTGGTAAAATGGCTTCCCTGTGAGAGCATGTTTTTAGGGGCCTAGAGGAGGAGCCAGGAGAAGCCACTTTTTTTTTGCTCCATCCCACCCCAAATCACTGTGAGAGCATGTTTTTAGGAGCTTCACAAGTGAAGCTATTTTACTTTACCCCGTTTGATAGAAAACGGCTCCAAACAGCTCCTGAAGCACGTGGAGAAACCCTGCCAAACGGGGCCTAACTCCTGTGATTATGTAAATTGAGTGGCAAAAATACTCCCGTCCCGTCCGCCGCCCACGCCCATGCCCCGGCCAGCGGCGGCGGTGTGCGCGTGGCACAACTATGTACTTTTCTCAGCTTCTCAATATAGATGGACAATTTCTAACCATATAAATTAAGTCAACGTTCAGTCAAAATCCTGTATGGTATTAAACCATATATCACGTATTTTATGTGCCGTAGAGTTTTATTTAATTTATTAAATATTATATGGGCCAAGCCCATTATGGCTCCGTTCGCTGGTCTAAAATTTGGCTGAAACTGACTGAAAAACACTGTTCTGGCTAAATTGTTGTGAGAGAAAAACACTGTTCCGACTAAAAAAAAAGCCGAACAAACTATTTTTAAGACGAGCGAACTACGTCCAGAACCGAAGCCAGCGCGTCCCTCAAACAAAATCTGCAAAAAAAAATGGTTTGCCGTTGTCAAAAAAACAAGCTCATTTCTTGTCAATCAAAGCGCACGGCAAAATGCTGTCGCCCCTGTCAATAAGAAGTGTTTACATCCAGATCCAGATGACAAAGAGCAATGCCATTTTGTTGTTTTCCAAAAAGAGACACGGATATACGATGCAGTTCCTTGGCATGTTTGTTTGGTCGTGACTTGTCGTAAACGATCGTAAATTTTCAGCCGAAACCATATTTTTCTCTCACACAAACTAGCCAACAGTACTTTTTCACGAACCAGCAACGAAACGAACCAGCGAACCAAACAGGTCTGTCTTTCCTAGATGTGCCTGTACGTGAACCTGTTCATCCATGCGACCATGCGTCATGGCTGCGGCTGTTAGTCGCATCTCGGTCAGCTAGTAATCTGCTGTTTATCACATTTTACTTTGTGTATCCAGGATTTCAAATCCAGATTTTCCATATTTCCTGATTTTTCTGTTCGCTTAAACTTATCAATATAGCATATTAGTCATAGTACAATGTTTTTTTCTCACAACAAATAAGCTTCAACTGATTTATTAGCCACAGAAACCATCAAGCCGAACCCACGGTACAATATAGTTAGGTGTAGTTGTAGTATTAATTTCAATCGAGCTAGTACTTTGTTAATTGTTACACCTTACCATTCTTCAGTGGCTACGTTTGTACGTGTACTATTTGTCTGATCCAGAAACGGTGTACAGTACTGAGAGCTGAACTGCAGAACGCCAGAACGGGTCCTCGTGTGTTCATAAAGGTCCTGGAAGCGGAAGACGAAAAACTGAGGGAGAAAACGACATGCATCATTCATGGGACAACAGCAACTACAGAAGGACGGACAGGAGGAAAAGAGCCAAGAGTCGTCAAAGCAGCCGGAGACTGGAATTGACCCGGACATGCCATGATCTGAAACACGTGGATGTTGAAGGCAAAAATTCATTTAAAAAAAACGGACACGTTCAACCAGTGTGCTACGTGAACGAAAATTCCGCGGTCCTTGGCTCCTTGTGCAAGAAAAAGAGAAAGAAAATGAATAAAGGGTCGGGTAGAGTTCCTACTCTAGCCAAAAACAATTTCAGCTGTGGTTTCACCGGTAGAGCAGTTGAACAGATTTTTGGAACGTTTGACAAAACAGTTTTTTTTGGTAGTCCAGGAGGTCGAAATGTTCATAATACCCTTCTTTTCATCTTTTTTCCCCTTTTTTCCTTCCCTATTTCTTTCCTCTCCTTTCCTTATCTACCGCGTCCCACACATGCCTCTCAGCGTCCGTGCCCGCCCCACCTCCACCCCTGTGCGCGCGCTTTGGCTCCAACGAGGCGACGATGGGCACCCCAAGCTCCAGCCTTCGGCAAAGCCGTTGTTTGTGCGCCCCCCCCCAGCGGCGCCCTGGCGGGAGCCCCCTTCCACGCTCCTGCTCCGGCAAGGCGGCGATTAGCACCGCCGACCTCTGGCAAGCTAGTGCCTGCACGGCCCACCCTCTAGCCTCTACCAACCCAGAGCCCTAGCCTCGCTACTCCGTCCAACCTCCATTCACCCCAGCGACCCCAAGCTACCACTCGCCCATGCCTCGCCCACACACGGAGGGTATTTCGGGGTTGGCTCATAATCAAGGACGAGGGAGCCGCGAGAAGCTTCGAGCTGTTTGGCCGATGGTTTCTGCGACTGATAATCAGGCTGAAGCTGATTTGTTATGAGAGAAAAACCTCGCGGCTCTCTTGTTTTTCGGCTTCAGTTATGTGAAACAGCTCGCGCATTTTCTAGGACTTCTTGCACGGGGAAAAATCCCATGCACACAGTACGCACCATGTAGTTGTGCATACCGTGCACCAGATGGTTGCCGCGTGGGAGCTATCTGCATCCGACGACAGGTGTTTCAACGGCTTACCGCGAGTGGGCCAAAGCACGGGAGCCAAGTGGGCCGAAGCACGGAGGAAGAGCGGATGGCAGACGTCGATCTCTCTTCGATGGACACGTGGCAGTCGATGGGAGCATGTATGCATGGAAACCGCCGTATGCATAGAATTTTTTTTTCGCACGGAGAAAAAATCCCATGCATACCTTGCACGGAGCGATTTGCTAGGGCTGCTATAAAACGGTTCCTAAATGACATGTCGGGTAAGTCCGAAACGTCGGTCAAACTCTGGTCCACACGCAGGGCCGCTGCTAGTTGGGCTAATCTGGGCCGGGCCTGGATACGATACAACCCTGTATATGTGGCCGGACCGGAGGCAGGAAACCAGCGGCGGCCGCCGGCGAGACTGTCTCAACAACGAATCCACGTGGGGCACCAGGCTAAAAATCAATCTTCAGCGAAGTACTTATACGATAGATTTATTTTAGATATCTAAGAGGCACAATCTAAATATGAGCATTATCTGTTCTGAAAATTTATTTGTAGAAAAGATTCTCTTTTGGGTCTGGTTGTTAGAGAAGATACCGAATATGTATTGAACCTTTTATCTGTAGCGCTACCAAAGAACGAATGTGTCTTGTATTTTGAGTGTTGTTGTTGGAGATAGCCTGACGAGTCAGGACCCATCAACGTGTCAGGCTGTCTCGAACAGGAGACCTATTGAAATACCCAAACTTAAAATAGGTCTCTAGCAGGATATTTATAGTCTCCAAAAGAGTATCTATACAGAAGACTCATTTTGGGTATTAGAAGAGACATAACCCAAATCTGAATATTATCTCTCTGAAAATCTATTTGTAAAAAGAATTATCTTTTGAGTTGTGTGGTTAGAAAAGACTAAATATATGCATTTAATCTTTTGTACCCAACGCTATCTGAAAGATGAAAGATGAATGGATCTTTATTTTTAGGGCACGCTTGTTGGAGACGGTCTCAGGGCGTGTTCGGCTGGCTTGTTTCCAGCCGGCTGGCTTGTTTTTCCTCTCACAGAATCACTGTTCACGTCATGCCAGAACAGTATTTTTCTCTCACAACAATCAGTCGGAACAGTATTTTTCAGGCCCTCAGCGTTCCGATTCCCGCAGCTGGGCCCATTGGAAAATGCCGTGGGGGGCAGGGCGTTCGCCGCTCGAGAAGCAGGGACACGTCGCCCGCCCGGCCTATTAAGCGCACGCAGCAAGAGATTCGTCTGCCTAATCAACCATTAGCCGAGCGAGGGGAGCAGCGCACTCGCCATTTGCCTCCGCAGCCGCCGCCTCCGCCTCCGCCTCCTTTTCCTTGGAGCAGAAGAAGAGGGGGAAGAGCCGCCGCCGTCGCCGTCAGGATGCATTCCACCAACCTCCTGCTCGAGGAGCCCATCCGGATGGCCTCCATCCTGGAGCCCTCCAAGCCTGTAAGCACCACCGCCGCCGGCGCGATCCCATCCCCTTCCGCCCCCCCGCCCCCCGTCATGTTCAGATTCGTTTCGTTGCTGATTCGGCCGAGATCGGTCAACGGACGAACCCTACGTACTACCTCTACTGAGAACTGACTAACTTTTTTTTTTCGTTCGGTGTCGGGCGGATGGATCCTTGTCTGGTTGGTCTGGAGCAGAGCTTCTTCCCGGCGATGACCAAGATCGTCGGCACGCTTGGCCCCAAGTCGCGCTCCGTCGACACCATCTCCGCCTGCCTCAAGGCCGGCATGTCCGGTAACTGTTCACTCCCCGTCTCTCTCTCTCTCTCTCTCAATGCCGTCCCGAGCTTGCAGTCTAGCACTGGAGCTGATTTGTCGGTTGGTTGGTCTGTTTGGTTTCCTCCTCCTGCGACTGCAGTCGCGCGGTTCGATTTCTCGTGGGGGGACGCGGCGTACCACCAGGAGACGCTGGAGAACCTCAAGCTCGCCATCAAGTCCACCAAGAAGCTCTGCGCTGTAAGTTCGGCTCTGAACGAATGAACGAACCAACCAGCACTGTGCGCCACAACGGCAATGTGCTTTCCTCTTGCGCGACGGAGCTGACAATTGCTTGCATCTCTCTCTCTTTGCTTACCACAGGTCATGCTCGACACCGTGGGCCCGGAGCTGCAGGTGGTGAACAAGAACGAGACCCCGATCTCCCTCGAGGAGAATGGCACGGTCGTTCTCACCCCTCACCGCGGCCAAGAAGCCTCCTCCAGCTTGCTGCCCATCAACTTCTCTGGACTCGCCAAGGTCAGCACGTGCTGATGATGTTACTCATCAGATCTAATATCCTATGCTAGTTGACCATGCCCTGACTACCAAGTTTATATTTTTTGTTAGTCTAGTCTTGTTTCCACATCACACAGAGGAGAAAACAAACAAAAAAAAACTTTGTTCCTTGCAGGCGGTGACACCAGGGGCAACATTATTCGTGGGGCAATACTTGTTCACTGGCAGTGAGACTACTTCAGTTTGGTTGGAGGTAAAAATGCTTTGGCATGCTGTACCTTTAAGCGTTTTGTATGTTTCATTTCATATGTCTTTCAGTACGATTATGGTTTGCTCTCGGCATTTTCTAATAAAGAACTCTTTTTGTCTACCTGATATAGGTTTCTGAAGTTACAGGAGATGATGTGGTCTGTATAATCAAGAACACAGCCACCTTGGCTGGGTTACTGTTCACACTGCACTGCTCCCAGATTCACATTGACTTGCCCACCCTGTCTGATGAGGATAAGGATGTAAGCATCTACTCTCAAATTGTGATTTATATATCCTTGTGTAATTGTTGCCTTGAAATTGTCTCCTTCCTTTCAGAGTTTCACCTTTAGCAACATGAAAATGTGGGGACGGAACTTGATTTGTTGTATAGTTGAAGCCCTGTCCTTTAACCCATCCTAAGACTTACATGCATGAGTTGCTTTCAGGTTATCAGAAAATGGGGTACTCCGAATAAGATTGACTTCCTTTCTCTGTCTTACACTAGACACGCAGAGGATGTGAGGCAGGTAAACAACTTGCATTGTTGATGCATTTTGAGTTATTCTGTTTGTCCTCTCTGATTGCTGTGCTTCTAAGCAGTACCTTTATTCTGTTTGTCCTCTCTGATTGCTGTGCTTCTAAGCAGTACAATGCTTAAGAAGAATGCTGTCAACAGTGCTAATATTTGTTTGTTGCAACACAGGCACGGGAGTTCCTGTCAAAATTGGGTGATCTAAGCCAAACTCTGATTTTTGCCAAAATTGAGAATGTTGAGGTATTTTCAAGTAAATCTTATTACATTATTAGCTAGCTACCATTTGTTTGCCCTTCAAATACACATACACTCCTTATTTCTTTGCAGGGCTTGAACCATTTTGATGAAATACTGGCTGAGGCAGATGGTATCATTTTGTCAAGGGGGAACCTTGGAATTGATCTTCCACCTGAGAAGGTTGGTTACCTATACTAATATTTTAGCAGTTGAGAATACCACAATTTTAGCCTACCCCAACTTGTTTGGGACAAAAGGCTTTGTTGTTGTTGTTGTTGTTGAGAATACCACAATTTTAACGTCTGGGCTTAAGCCTCAGTGCCTTTGTGGCCACATAATACACCCCCTCACATCTGGGCTCCATCTGACCACCTAGAGTACTATGTGGATTTGAAGCGGGTCAGGGTCACAGTTATTTTTTCCCCCTTAAAATTGTGCTAGCATGGTCTTATACTCAAGACTTTTGACTGTTACCAGAATTGAATTGAGTTTCATACCTGCCAGTTTACCGAAAATGCTAAGGCGTTGAGAAAAGATATGACACAACACACATGAACCTTAAATTTACTTCTAGTTTAGTATATTCTGTCTCGTTTTGGGTGCAATAATTGTCCATATTTTACTAGTTTGTTTAGCCATTGATCTTTATCACTCCAACTCTCCATATTACAGGCCTTTTTGTTTCAAAAATCTGCTCTTCACAAGTGCAACATGGCTGGAAAGCCTGCTGTTGTCACTCGTGTTGTGGACAGTATGACCGACAACCTCAGGCCTACTCGGGCGGAGGCAACTGATGTGGCAAATGCAGTACTTGATGGTAAGTTGTTAAATTTTTTTGCTGCTTTTCAAAAATCTTGGGTATACTCGGGCTCTTTTAGCCTGATATGCAGCTGGTCCTTAGTGCACTAAAAAAGGGCAGTTCAATCGTGACTCACGATTGTTTTAATTGCAGGGAGTGATGCCATTCTCCTTGGTGCTGAGACTCTCCGAGGTTTATATCCAGTTGAGACTATTTCAACTGTGGGCAGAATTTGTGCTGAGGTGAAATTTCTGTTATGATTTCTAGATAAAGTTGCATTTTCAACAATTATTGTTACTTCATTGCAAATTTGGCGTCTTTTTTTTCGCTCTGCATCTGACTTGTTGTCATCGATTTAGTTATACATGTTTGCCAATTGTCTTACAGGCTGAGAAGGTCTTCAACCAAGATTTATACTTCAAGCGAACTGTGAAATATGTGGGAGAACCCATGACCCACTTGGAGTCCATTGCTTCCTCAGCGGTAAGATCTATGTGCTTCTCAGATTCCAGCCTTTTTTTGTTAATGTTTGGAAAACACAGAGTTTATAGTCTAAGATAGTTCTGTTACTACTTTTTAGGTGCGAGCTGCTATCAAAGTTAAGGCTTCGGTGATCATTTGCTTCACCTCTTCTGGACGGGCTGCAAGGTCGGTAGAAACGAATATGCTTATACAGGGTTGCAGTTAGTGGGAATTAATCTCATGTATATCTATATGATCTGCAGGCTCATCGCCAAGTACAGGCCCAGCATGCCTGTTCTTTCTGTTGTCATTCCTCGTCTGAAGACAAACCAACTGAAATGGAGCTTCACTGGTGCTTTTGAGGTACGTGAACTCCAATATTCTTTGTGATCTTTCCTGTTAGATGTTTCCTTTTTATGCAATGCGGACATTGACTATGATTAGCATGCTGATCATTTCTTTTGTAAATGGTAACATTGGTCTTGTGAAGTTTCTCTTGTAGACATTGAACATGTCATGCAATGCTTAAAAGAGACATATTACTTTGTTTGAGAAGAATTAATAACCTTGAATGCTTTTTTGTTTGAGAAGAAATCCTTGTACTGATATTTGGCACCATATAACTCATTTTTTTTTTCTTGCAGGCAAGACAATCACTGATAGTTAGAGGCCTCTTTCCGATGCTTGCTGATCCTCGGCATCCAGTAAGTAAACAAAAGTTTTTCAGTTCACTACTTTAAGTGTATATGCAAAACATACTAGCTGGATTTGCCCACTTGTACACATGAGCATCCCATTTCTAGCATCGTCGGGGGTGGAAAGATTTTGCAAATACATCCCTGTTGCCCTAGCATTTTCTTTCAATTCATCTATGTTGATAAGATGTCCTATGGAAACTTGATGCTTTTCAGTAAGTAATATGAGGCTGCTAGGAGCTACAGATATCCGTCTTTATATTAACATAACAATATTATCATACTACAAATTTATAGTGTACTCGCTTCCATCTGTCTGAGTATGTAAAATTTTGTATGTCATAAAAGGTTCGAAGGCAAGAACACTAGAATGCAATTCACTGCACTTCTAAAACAAACATGGTCTGATAGCATGGTTAATCAAAACATATATCCATTTTCTTAAAAAAAAATCTCTGCTGGTTTATTTGTCTATATAACTTATCAGAGAAGGCTAGGTACCCCTAGTACACTGAGAAGGCTTCAAGTGACAATCCCACTTAGCTTCTTGTTGCACCCTAGACCTTTATTATGTCTTGGTCTCCGGAGCAGAGACAAGTTTTTGTTTGCGGTGTTTTTGTGTAATTTCTATTGCGTGCTGTAAATTGATTTGGTGTGATTGTCTGGTTACTTGGTATTAATCAATCTTCATTGTGTCTTTCAGGCTGAATCAACCAGCTCTACAAATGAGTCAGTTCTAAAGGTTGCTCTAGACCATGGCAAAGCCTCTGGTGTGATCAAGTCCCATGACCGTGTCGTTGTTTGCCAGAAAGTGGGAGATTCATCAATTGTGAAGATCATTGAGCTGGATGACTAGACCCTTGTCTACTAGGGCATATTTTGCCTATTTTTTACCAGGCCGAAATTTGTTGGCTATGTATAATCCTCTAGCTTTACAAATGAGCAGTTTTGCTTAGCAATTTAAAACTCCTACGATGCAGTTGGAAGTTGTCAGATTATATGCCACCTAAATGGGCAGATGGGATAATGAAATCATACTGTACCCTTTAACCTGAGCCTGTTTTTCGTTTTGTTTCTCATCGCATCTGTTTCTATTGCGCGTTTCCTCCTTTAAGTCCAACTACTGATTTGCCCCCATTTCCTAGACCTAGTAGCTTTGCCATATTTGATGAAGTTTAATTGGGAGAAAGTTTATTAACACACTACTATTCTGTCTGTTTTCATGGACGGTGGTCAGTGGCCAATGTGGATCAACGCTTTTAAATGCGTGATCATAACCATCTAGATATGATTAAATGGATGGTTCAGTTATTTTGGAGTACCTGTAGCAAAGCATGATTTTAAATGGGCTTTGCAAAAACAATTGTGTTGATGCATTCAAAATTTTTCAAAGCTTATTTTTCTAAGGATCTTCATCTTGAGATTATTACTTTCAAATACGATTGGTTCTTTGCTCCTAAGTGGCAGAAAGAAAGATGCCATTGATTTTTTTGTTGATATCTCTACCCATGGTTTAGTTTCAGATGTTGTGACCTACCTTAGAAAAATTCACAAAAGGGTTGCTAGAAAAATTCACGAAAGAAGGGTTGCTAGAAGAGTCTGACAATCTGTTTTCTGAAATGGAAAAGAGTAGATGCACTCAACTTAGTATGCTATTGCATAGAGGTGAGATAATTGAGGGTTGGGGCTTGCCTCTCCAAAATTGATGAGCAGAGCTTCTCACTTGAGGCTTCCACCACTTTGTTGATGATATAAGCCTTTTCAAAGGAAGATTATAAGCACCAAGTGAAGTCCCTGCCTGAAAAAGTACCATCATTTTTATCATGAAGTCGAAAAAAGAGCACACATGAATTGGAGAGCCTTTTCAAAGGAGGATTATAAGCACCAAGTGAAGTCCCTGCCTGAAAAAGTACCATCATTTTTATCAAGAAGTCGAAAAAAGAGCACACATGGATTGGAGAGCCTTTTCAAAGGAGGATTATAAGCACCAAGTGAAGTCCCTGCCTGAAAAAGTACCATCATTTTTATCAGGAAGTCGAAAAATGAGCACACATGGATTGAAACAAATTCTCCACTGTGCTAGGGCCTGTTTGCTTTCAACCCAGACAGTTTTGCTTGGCCCTTCATGGGCTCCTAGGCATTGGATTTTGTAAGCCTAGGGTGGAGATTGCTGTCTGGCAGGCTTTGAACCAAACAGACCCATTGTCTCATACTCTAATTTATTAATTATTAGTCACATTCTATTGTCTCCTTTTATTTTATGAAATTCTTTAGTGAAATGCATGTTCTCAGTCCTACTTATACCACGGCCGCAAGCAGTTTACCATTTTGCTACATAATATATTAAGAAATTCAATAATCTGAAACTACTGATCTTTGAGTTTGAGATGATTACTATTTAAGCTTTTGTTTCTTCCTGTCGTTGTTCACAGCATTTACTGTTTGTGATTCCATGCATCAGGTAAATCTAACATATACCATCTTCCATGGATCAAGAGATTAAAAGAAAACTCAAACGAGTGAATTACTGTTTGTTTGGTATATAATGATGATACTGGAATAACCAAACTCAATGCATTCATCTTCTACATTGCTTATCCCTGAGATGTTTTTGAAGGTATATTCTCTGTTGATGCATCAGGAGCGTGTGTTCAGGCATATGCCTGCTGCTTCCACTCAAACGCTTGTAATGCCATAGCAATGAACTGAGAGTTTGTGCTCCTCTGCAAGCAACTGCAGTTTCTACCGCAACAGCATCCAACAAGAGAATGAAATCTAGAGCTCCAGTGATACTACAATAGTATTACTACTGTAGTAACAGCATTATTACTAGCATAATCTAAATGTGAAAAATGTAATATACAGTTCCATAAAAGGCCTTTGAAATTCAGCTGAAAGAATGCATGAGTATGGCTCCAAGGTGGCCAGTACACAACATCGTGGAGAGTTCATAACAACTATTTATCCCGATCAATCAACAGCTCTACAGAAAATTCAATCTTATAGTACAAGCTTGGTCATCTTGGCCACCAGTTCTACACAATTTTCTGGTAAACTATCCTACTCTTTCTTTCGTTTGAACATCCTAGCCAGATAAAGAATAAATGACACCAGCCACTGCCAGAAAACAACAAGGTAGTTTGCCTTCTTTGGTTTCACTTCAGGTCTTGGTCCAAAGAGACCTTTGTAGAGCTCCTTCTGCTTCTGGTACAAAGCCTTGTCTTGTTCTGCGAGCAAACGAAGCTCCCGAAGGATCTCCTTGTCTTCTGGGGAGTACTTCTTCGCTTTCAGGAAATCTTCCCTCGCTGATTCTGTCTGGCCAAGTTCAGATTTAGCTTTTCCTCGCCTGAACAGTGCTTTCACATTACTTTCATCTTCTGACAAAACCTGAAGAATATGGTTACAAAAGAGATCATCCATCAAATAGTAATTTTTTCCTTTTTTTCAGACAAAGCAGGGTAATTTTATATTAGGACCATGGGATTGTTCAATTCATCAAACATCACGAGACCAACACCTTTTTGAAAAGGGCTGAAAATGTGCAAATCAGCTGTTTGATAACTGTAATGCAGAATCTTGCATGTTGATATCTGAATTCATCTTGGCCATGTGAGCCTAGTTGCTACAGGTTTTTTTAAGATCATTTAAAAAATTGTCATGCTTTTATTGTCTGAACATACAATCATGTATAGTTTTTGCGAAGGTCTATGTAAAGTCTTATACTGCAAAAATGTACTCATGAATGTAAATCGTGAGTTGAAGACTGAATGTATTCATGGGCATGGTAGAGTATCATACAATGCTGCACTGCGCAATAGCTTCATCAAATCTCTTCAGTTTGATCAGGCATGCAGCCATATTGAGATGGCATGGATTTTTCACAGCCAAGGCCATGTCTCTGTACTTTCCAAATAATTGAAACATGAAATCATCTCCCATGTATGCAATCGCCTGTAAAAGAGAACAGGTCAACTGAAATCAGAGTATGCTGATAACTTTAATCATGTCCAAAGTATAGATGCCACTAACCATTTCATATTGCTGCATGGCCTCCTCAAGCTTCTTTTCTTTGAAATATGCATTGCCCTCAATCTTTCTCCTGTCTGCAGTTGCAACCCTCTCTTCAACTGTCATGTCACTTCGGGCTTTACCCTGATTCACAGTTTATCATGATTTGGAAGTTCCCAACTTGAGAAAAGTAAGTAATGCTAACCGATATGAATAATCTCAGCCTACTCTTCAAAATAATAATGATTGAAGCGTTATGTGGGCTGGAGGCAGTAGAACTTTGTTTGCCTACCTCTTTAACATCATCGAATCCAATAAGTTCAACTTCATAAACAAGGTCTGCCATTGGAGGGACATTTGGGAAAGAAAAGCTTCCTTCTTTGCCATAGCCTAGCTCCCAATCAACATGCAACAATGCACACTCCCCGCTTTTCATGCTGCCAACACCAATGCCTAAACCAGACATTTGTTTTTTCTCTGTTGACGGAGGAGAAAGCTTTAGAAAGTTACCCCATAGGCAATTATCACTGATAAACACTGTTGTACTATTGAGGTTGCCCATATGATTCTAAGATAGTTACCAAGTAACTGTAGGCTTACTGGCAATGCAACATAAAAAGGGTGCAAATGAGAACTAACTATGCACATTTCACTCTTTCATCTTACAACATATTAAACCATTAGTAGCAGGCATGGCAAGTTACTGGCAGGATAACTGGTTATACAGAATAGTCACTAAGAAGTAAGAACCATCATCATTGTACTAGAAAACCATAATAGCATGCAAAGTAAGCTGTTTGAATTTATGAAATTAATGGGTGAAATGCATGAAGCAGAGCAAAATTGAGTATAAAATAAGTGAAGTGATTGTTGCGGCACCTTTTCCAAGTACTAGTTCAATTGGATGTTGTTCTTGCCAGGTATCCTCAAATTTATGCGATGATCCTTGAACCCATGCTCTATAGTGCACTGCAACACCAAGTTTAGAAAAGAAAACAAATAATTCACTGGTGTTCTCATGTGTGCTAAATCAAAATCCATGTGCATGCTTCCACCCGATAGTAAAAGGACGAATAAATTAGCGTGTGGTGACTGAATTAGGCCGCTTTGGACAAAACAGGAACTAATCTGAAGTTTTGAAATTTGACATAATCATTAGACCAACAAAATCAATAGGTGTTGTTGTATCAGTACTCCCCGAACGAGAAAAGAGACGTGGGTCACTTTGGGTAAATAGAAAAATTATGAAACCTGATGTTTGAAATTTGACATCAGCATTTGGGTTAGAAACTGAATAGGTACCGGCAAAAGATACTGGCACTCAATGAATGCAAAAGAGTAACAGGAAGGTGTAAACACTATAAACCTCCACAAGTTTACATGCCAAGGTAGTTTCTGTCTTTTGGTGAGAAAGCAGCCTAAGACCAGATATAAAAGAGAATTTGTTTAGATAGGTTATTTGCACGCAGTGTGAACAACGCCATAAGCATCTCATGACCATGATCACTCAAACAAAACACATTCAGGATATCATTATTATAGAATAAGAAACAGGGCAGGCACAACATATTAGCATATATCCTAAAATTCGACATCCGGAGCATGAGCATATGGACCGAACCACTTCCGCCATACTCACCAAAGCACGTCGCGAACTTCAGGGGCTTCCTGCCATGGCCTTCTTTGATGACTTGCTTCTTAACCTTGTCATGAAGCACCTCCATGTCAGAGGAAACCACGGGTGGGGCGCTGCCATCCTGGGGAGGTTCAGAATGCACGAAAGAAGCCTCTTCCACTGTGATCTCGTTATCGCTGGAGCCTGAGAATCAGAAAGCAGCAGAAGTCAGG